GCTGGAACTGTTTTATCCTGACCTAGAACCTTCAATCTGAGCTGGAAGTGTTTTATCCTGACCTAGAACCTTTAATCTGAATCAGAACCTTCTTATCCTGACCTAGAACCTTTAATCTGAATCGGAACCTTTTTATCCTGACCTAGAACCTTCAATCTAAACCTACAGTAATACAAACCCTAAAACCAAGTCTAAAGCGATCACATCAGGACTGCAGTGGAAATAAGTCATGTGATTTTATAGAAATATCTTGATGAAGTTCAGTACTGCAATGAACTAACATGAGCTAAATTATTTTAAACGTCTGACTGTTTACTTGGTGTCTCTTCGGCAGGCAGCGAGGGAGTTGGTGTTGGAGGTGATCAGGGAGAAGGACGGAGATTTCAGGTCAGGACGCAACGACTTCAGCGCCCGCCTGGGAGGAGCCAGCCTGGACGTACGACACGCACAAACAAACGCACACTGTTAGCATTTTGTTAGCAGCTAGCATGTTTGAGCGTCCGTTTCGAACCACTACTTAAAAGGTACATTCATGTCTAGTCCGTCTCTCTGCAGGTTCCGGTTCCCAGGTTTGCTGTTGGCATCGTGATCGGCAGGAACGGAGAAATGATCAAGAAGATCCAGAATGATGCCGGAGTCCGAATCCAGTTTAAAGCAGGTCTGTTCACACCAGAAGATCCAGTTCAAACTGGTCAGGTAACATCAGTATAGTCCTGTTCAAACTGGTCTGTTAACATCAGTATAGTCCTGTTCAAACTGGTCTGTTAACATCAGTATAGTCCTGTTCAAACTGGTCTGTTAACATGAGTATAATCCAGTTCAAACTGGTCTGTTATCATCAGTATAATCTAGGGGTGCAACGGATCACAAACCTCACGGTTCTTGAGTCACGGTTCGGATCATTTTTCGGATCAACAAAGAAAAGGGGAGCAGACAAATATAACTTTGCTTTCCATTTATTAATTAAAGAACTTCAAGAACACTTAAAGAAAAGAACTTTGAGCTATAGTCTTACATGAAAACACAAATATTGAAGATGTCCAATTTGAAACAAAATGAAATAAATAAATAAAAATAAAACATTCAAATATACTCAATTCTGTTAAGTTTAAGGCAACATGAGGTATGTTGATGCCCTCGTCCTTTGATCAATACTGAAAGAGAGAAACAGCCAGTGAGCTAGCTTCCACTGTTTACACTGAACTGAAATGCTCGGAAACAACTTGGGTCTATGTTTACTTCCTGTCAGGTTATGCCATTCAAATACACTGAAATAATGTTACATTACTGTCTAGCTTCCACTCTGATGCTTCTGTCAGCACCTGCCCCAGGTGTGTGTGACTCTCACAGAGGGGGCGTGTCTACAGCACCGGACTATGAAGTGAGCGGTCACAGTCAGCCGTTATCGTGTGTCTTTCTCTTTAAACAATGGCTACATACCGTAACGCTTTGGCCACCACCCTCATCCGTCATTATGAGTTACAGGGAAGACAAAATGCTCCCAAATTTGCGACTTAAATGACGCCGGGGGCTTCTGAAGCTCCTCCGTTCCTCTGCTCGCCATGACTCACCGTTAAATGCTTCACACTCCGTTCACGTGAGCACACTACTGCTTTATATCTGTTCACTGACACTGCATTGATATTCGGGTACTTGTTACTTGAAAAGGAACAGCAGCAGTAGAACTGTATTACACACTGTGATGATTAAACTGTAAAAAACTCAATTAATCCGCGGTTCACAAGTGTGCCGAACCGTGAGTGATCCGAACCGATCACGGGTGGATCCGTGATCGGTTTAAAACTAGTATAATCCTGGTCTGTTAAAATCAGTATAATCCAGTTTAAACGTAGTCTCATGATACCAGGATAAACCAGATTAAACTAGCTTGTTTACACCAATGTAATTCAGATTAGACTGGTCTATTGATACCAGTATAATACTCTTTAGAACTGGCCTTCCAACACCAGTAAAATCCAGTTTAAAGTGTGTTTACACAGGTAATCCAGGTTAAAATCATTATAATCCAGTCCATGTAATCCAGTTTAGTCTGTCTACACCGGTATAATTCAGATTAAACCAGTCTCTTAATGGAGTTATGATGGAGCCTCTCTGTGTCTCCTCTAGATGATGGCATCAGTCCAGAGCGTGTGGCCATGGTGATGGGTCAGCCAGACCGCTGTCAGCATGCTGTCCACCTCATCAACGAGCTCATCCAGACCGCACAGGTAACACACTCTCACACACACACTCGCACACGGGTAGACTCGTCTACACTGAACTGTGATGATGTCCTCGGTGCTCTCTTCACTCTGTTTGTGTTTCGTAGGAGCGTGATGGTTTTGGCTCGGCCCTGCGGAGCGGCAGAGTCAGAGGTCGTGGTGATTGGACTATGGGCTCTCCTGGTCCGCTACAGGAAGTGACCTACACCATCCCTGCTGACAAGTGTGGCCTGGTCATCGGCAAAGGTAGAAGAAGAAATCTGTTTGAATCTCGCCAGCATGATGATGATGTAAACACAAAGGCCAATATGTTTACTCAAACGATTTTTTGGTTCTGATCCAATTACTTTAAATATTTCAGTATTCTGCCGATACAAATCCAATAATATACTTATCTACACCGCAACATTTACACGAGCTACGTGATCCAAATACTGAAGGTCAGAGTTCAAAAATATGAAGTTCATAATCTTAAATAACTGATATAATCTGTTACTACAAACATGTCTGAACTAACCACAGACACTCAATTGCTCTTCTGTTGAGACTCTGGGTCTGAGGTTTATGGGAAATTGAGTTTGCCAAAGGAACGCTGTCAAGGAACGCTGTCAAGGAACGCTGTCAAGCAGGGGTCTCAAACTCCAGGCCCGCGGGCCGAATCCGGCCTGCCACGTCATTTTATGTGGCCCACGAATCCGCCAGCAAAAAAGTAAAAAATAAATAAAAAAATTTAAAGTTAGACTTGATCATCAAAATATCCCCATAGTCAAAATTATGAGATAGAAAGTCATAACTATGATAGAAAGTCAGAATTCCAGAATTCTGTGATAGGAAGTCGAAGTTATGAGATAGAAAGTCATAATTCTGAGATACTTAAACACAGTCACAGAAGCAGCTCTTTGGCTGGTTACTGTTCACTTGAAATGGAAATGTATTGTGAGTACATTGAAGACTACTTTAAACTGGCTTTAAAACACATGAAATACTTCACGTGGGATTGTACAAACGCACCCTTGAAAGGATTTTAAGCATTGAACAAAGTTATTGTAATAACTTGTGTTTGATTTTTGTCTTTGTTATTTTCTTTAATAGTTTGATCTTTGATAGAGTAATGTGGGTTTCTTAACCCTACATTAAAAGGATTTATGTTATAATAACAGAAATGTGCTTACATATCATTTTACATTTATATAACTGCATTACAATATTTTAACACTTGAATAAACAATAATGAAATGCAGAGACAGTTATTTACCAATATGTTAGGAGAAGTTACATTTACAGTCTTACATTTACAACCGGCCCTTTGAGGGCGACCGTGATGATGATGTGAGAGTGAAGATGAGTTTGAGACCCCTGCTGTCAAGGAACGCTGTAGGGGGGCGGTCAAGGAACGCTGTAGGGGGGCGGTCAAGGAACGCTGTAGGGGGGCGGTAAAGAAAACACCCACAGGCAGGAGCTCCATCAGCCCCACTCGACTGTGTGTGTGTGTGTGTGTGTGTGTGTGTGTGTGTGTGTGTGTGTGTCAAGCAGCAGCTTCCAAAATAAAAGCATCAGGAAAAAAAAGAAATGTCAAGCACTCAATGTTTAGACACCATATGGTCTGTTTGTGTGTCTGGTGGTCTATTGTTAGTCAGGACTCATGAACGTTCTAATGTCTACACACACACACACCTTTTTAAACCTGCCAGTAAATTAAAGGGTTTTTAATTTACTGGCATCAGATAAAAATAACCTAAAATCTACTTTAAATAGAAACAATATCAAGTAGTAAGATACTAATATAAATATATGATATTTGTGTATATATAATATGTTAGAAATAATCCTGATAATAATGATTGAGTCATTTTAAAGTCCAGAGTTTTTATTGAAGAAAACGCTTTATATTAATAATTAATATGAAACATTTCACCAATAAATGTTTGTTTACCAAAATGAATATAAGACAGCTGACCGTTACAGTGGCATCATCAGGAAGCTGACAAATACATCATTTTATAAATAAACATGGTCGTATGGAAGATTTAAAGTCATCAAAACAGAATGAATGTCAGAAGAAGTCTGAACAATATGTAGATTTATTCACAGATCTGCTCACTCGATGGCTCTCACCTCATAAAAGCTCCATCAATGGTCTCCTCATTAGGTTAACAAAGAGTTAATGACCTCAGCATATGCTGCTGACCTGGAGGAGGAGGAGGAGGGGGGGGGTAGGAGAGGAGGAGGAGGAGGAGGCGGAGGCTACATTTTAAAGTTTTAGCATCTAGTGTTCAGTGAACAGGTGGAAGCTTCGTTCATAACGTTTGTTTGTTGTGTTTGAAGACGGTGTTTGTGCACAGTGGTGTATTTGTTGAATTTAAGGATGTTCATTTATCATGTTGTGTTGTCCGAGCATCACCTCTCTCTGTGTTTCCAGGTGGAGAAACCATTAAGAGTATTAACCAGCAGTCTGGAGCTCACGTGGAGCTGCAGAGGAACCCCCCCCCCTCCACCGACCCAAACACCCGGGTCTTCACCATCAGAGGAACCGCCCAGCAGATGGACCTGGCCCGCCAGCTCATAGACGACAAGATCGGGGTACGCAAAACGAATGCACCTCCGTACGACGACACTCATTTAGACTGTAGAACAATAATCAGGTTTTTAATCACAGTCTGACTTCAGTCTGAATTATATTAAGTTCAAAGATGGTTTTATTGTCTGTCAGGAGATTTATATTAGTCGTGCGCTGAATTATTGTTGCATGTCAAAAAATACACTAAATAAATTAAATATACGAATTATTCTCAAAAACAACTTTAAATGCAAAACTCCACTCAATTAATAGATATAAGGTGGACTGTTGAGATGTTGATGTGTAGATTTAAGGTGGACTGTTGAGATGTTGATGTGTAGATTTAAGGTGGACTGTTGAGATGTTGTGTAGATTTAAGGTGGACTGTTGAGATGTTGTGTAGATTTAAGGTGGACTGTTGAGATGATGCTGTGTAGATTTAAGGTGGACTGTTGAGATGATGCTGTGTAGATTTAAGGTGGACTGTTGAGCTGTGTAGATTTAAGGTGGACTGTTGAGATGTGTAGATTTAAGGTGGACTGTTGAGATGTGTAGATTTAAGGTGGACTGTTCTGACAGAATGTGTCTCTGGTCTTCAGGGCTCAGGGATCATGAGTAACGGAGGTTTTGGATTCAGTCCCTTCACTCAGGGTCCTGCTACACACCAGAAGTAAGAACCTCCGTCTATTCATCTTATCCACTTCAGTTTGTCAGTGTGTTGATGATGATGAAGTATTATGAATGTGTGTGTGTGTGTGTGTGTGTGTGTGTGTGTGTGTGTGTGTGTGTGTGTGTACACACAGCTGTGGCAATGGTCAGACCTTCCTGACTGGCGTTTGGGGAAACACCTACCAGACCAGCTGGCAGAACCCTGGACAACAAGACCCTGGTAACACACACACACACACACACATCGTGAGACAAAATAAGTACAAATAAAAACATTTGTAACTATATGTATGTTTGTCTCTGTTCAGTAGTCCTACCAGGCCGCCAAACACCAGTTGATAGATATGGTGTGAAACCATGGTGACCAGTGTTATTATGGGATGTGTTCCTTCATGAACATGAGTCACCGTGGTGGTTTTCAGACTCACCGTCTGTTTGTGTCTGTAGGTCAACAGAACCAACCTCAGAGCCTGATGGCCGACTACAGTAAGGCCTGGGAGGACTACTACAAGAAGCAGAGTACGACCTGTCTGTCTGAACCTACGTCTGTCTGTCTGAACCTACGTCTGTCTGTCTGAACCTACGTCTGTCCGTCTGAACCTACGTCTGTCCGTCTGAACCTACGTCTGTCCGTCTGAACCTACGTCCGTCCGTCTGAACCTACGTCCGTCCGTCTGAACCTACGTCCGTCCGTCTGAACCTACGTCCGTCCGTCTGAACCTACGTCCGTCCGTCTGAACCTACGTCAGTCCGTCTGAACCTACGTCAGTCCGTC